ATTCAAAAAATACAAAGAGATTTTTATAATATTGCATTATTTCCAAGTATTGTAGGATGCATTGATGGCACCCACATAAAGATACAATCTCCAGGTATATTGACATAATTCAATAAAAAAGAACCTTAACTAAATAAATAAATAATATATTCTAGGAGGAGAAGATGGTGAGATATTCAGAAACAGGAAAGGCTATTTCTCTATAAATGTCCAAGTTGTGGGAGATTCTGACCTTAAGGTGCAAGATATTGTAGCACGATGGCCAGGATCAACACATGACATGACTATTTATTCAAATAGTAGAATACGTGCTAGGCTAGAAGGTGGAGAATTTAGAAATGGAATTATTCTAGGTAAATTGTAAAATGACATTCCTTGAACCATTAACATAATTACCATGTTATAGGTGATAGTGGTTATGGTGTAGGTAAATATCTGCTAACACCATTACAAAATCCAGAAACTGCAGCAGAAAAATTGTACAATAAGGCCCATATCACAACACGAAACTCTGTTGAACGCTTGTTTGGTGTATGGAAAAGGCGATTTCCCATATTAGCATATGGCATTAGGTTAAAATTAGCCACTGCTTACGCTGTAATTGTAGCATCAGCAGTACTACATAATATAAGTTTTTCGACAATGTTTTTGTAACTGGAAACTATTGATAATAGTACTTCCTTTTCGCGGCAACTATAATTAAGAGAACGCATTCTCTTTTTCTTTTCCACCTCCATTCTTATTCGGAGTTGTAAAAAGTACAAATTTCGCACACTAACTTTGAAATGTCAAAACCAATTATTAAAAAAAGATTATCGGTAATACAGTTTCCCATTTTCACCGATTTAGTGCGTTGTTGCCGAGTTTATTTTTGCTTTACTAAACTTTCTTAAATATATTGCGGTGCAACGGATTACATTTAAAGCTTGGCTTAAAAATTAAGGGACGCTTAGTTAAGCAAAGCTTAATTCAAAAACGGTGCAAACGGGCATAAGCCAAAGGAAAGTTATGAAGAATATTTGCTTCTACAACGGTGTTATCACCAGTTATCACACCAAACGACAAAACAAAAATGTGACGTTTGCTTTCACCTTTGAGCCCTTTGAGTTTGACGTTACATATAAATTTTTCTATGGTTACAAGCGCTTTGTTTGTGTAGATAATGCAGAATGCTACAAATTCAGTCTACAACGTCATCCAGTGGATTGTGAGGGTACTAAAACCTGGGTCTACATTTTTATAGTAGTGAGATTGCACACCATGACGGCGACTTTCTTTGAAAGAAGGTTTCCGTTATTTTTGCTGCTAAGCGAAGTACTGCCAGTTTATTAGGAAGGAGAGTATTCCAGGTTGGAATAGTAATAATATTTGGCAGAGTGCTTAGATGAGCGTGTAGCGACGAGTTTCGTCATCTTATGTTAGTTGGAGGTCGTTATCAATTTTTCTTGATCTTATTGTTAGATGAAATCGCCGTAATTAATGTATCGTGTAAGTATACATGATCGCAAGCCTCATAAGAAATTTAAAGCATCGAGAGGATGCAAATTTTATTATTATATGATATCGTACAAATGATTTGAAACGGCTTAAAAGCTGCCGAAGCACAGTGGTAAACCAATATTACAACAACATGGAAGTAATATCTTAGTGCTAAGAATATTTGGTTACTTCATTAAGCCGAAGTCACTTGCGGCCGAGGCGTTACAGTTACATAAATATCGTTACAATATTGGGCTACATATTATGGAGCTTTATCTAATGTTGTATCGCTATGATGTTAATTGTAGTGCCTCGGCCGCAAGCGACCTAGGCTTAATGAAGAGAAATCTCCCTGAAGTTACCCTGACATTAAGTCAAAGTATGGCCATTTTATTAAGCCGAGGCGCTACAATTAGATAAATATCGTTATAATTTTGAATAATTCTTAAAGCTTATTTCTTAATTTTTTTCTCAGAAATTACTAAATTTTCGAAGAACATCAGAGAGACAAAAAAGTTTTAGAATAGTTTTATCTATCTAACTGAAATTTTTCCAATGTATTTATTACCTTCATAAAAAAAATCTAGGCAAAAATTGAACGGGGGTAGTTATGTTTAGTAACTTAGAGGGGAATATTGAAAGTACAAATAGGATCAAAACGTGCTCTATTAGGAGCTAAACTTATTCCCCAAATTTTATTTTCCTAGTATTTATGGTTTTAGAGGGAAAAAAAAATAAACCAAAATTTTCCGCCATTTTTGGAGAGGTGCAGCTCCCTAGGGGAGCCGAAGTCGCCCATGGTTCATACAGGGTGTCTCAGCGAGACCGGTCATTAGACGTTTCTGGGGTTCTCTTCGTATAAAATATTTTCAGGTTTCTTGCACTTCCGGTTATACCGGAAGTCGCCACCTACTTTATTTTTTTAAATGGAACACCCTGTATATTTTTACATATTTGGATTTGTCTGTTTTCAAGGTTTATAAATAACTTTACTTTTTGCAATTTGATNGAGAAGCAGCTGTTAATAATCACCCGGATAAAGAAATGATGGAAAGAGTAGAACACAAAAAAAGAAAAGAAAAAGGCAAATAACTTTAGACGCATTTGTTATACGCAAAAAACCTAAAATACAAAGTTATCCTCAACCTTCTAGTTCCATTTTAAAGGATACTGTGATAAATTTGTAAATACGTTTTATTTTTTTCTTGATAAATAAAGGTGTCCCAACAAGAGCGCCGGATTTAAATTTGCCGCCATTTTATTAATACGAGTTGTACGGCGTTTTTTGTTTGACAGTTGTCACGTATAGACCGCGCGATTTATGAATATGGTGAACTATTCAAACGAACAACGTCTAACTATTGTAAAAAACACATTACAAAAATGGTGAAAGTTTTGCGAAAACTATTCGCCAATTACGTCAAGTTTTCGGTCGCAATAATGCGCCAAATGAATCAACAGTGAGGCGTTTAATTACAAAATTTGAGACCAAAATTTATGCTGGTGGATCAGAAGATCAATGTTCGTCGTCGTCCTTGTCGGTTACTTGAAAACATAGCCATAGTAAGGGAATCTGTGGTCGATAATCTAGGAACTTCCATTCGGCATCGTGGCCAAGAATTAAACATTTCCAGAAGCACTATGCAACGCATTTTGGTAAAAGATCTGCATTTGCACGCGTACAAGGTTCAATTGGTGCAAGAAATCAAACCAAGGGACCATGCGCAGCGCCGTGGATTTGCTGATTGGGTGTTGGAACATCATTAAATTAATGCGGACTTTTCGAAGAAAATCATTTTTTCAGATGAGGCACATTTTCAACTCGACGGATACGTAAATAAACAAAATTATCGAATTTGGGGTGCTGAAAATCCTCGTGTGGTATTCAATCAACCAATACATCCACCGCGAGTAACTGTTTGGTGTGCATTTTGGACTGGCGGAGTGATTGGACCTTATTTCTTTGAAAATGCGGCTGGAAATGCGCAAACTGTTAATGGTGTGCGGTATCGGGAAATATTAACGGAATTTTTGTGGGCCGAATTGGATGTCATTGATGTGGAGGACATGTTTTTCCAACAAGACGGTGCGACTTGCTACTCAGCACGTGAAACAATGGCGTTACTGTAGATAAAGTTTCCGGGTCGTGTCATTTCTCGATTTGGCGATCAACATTGGCCACCAAGATCGTGCGATCTAACACCGATGGACTTTTTTCTTTGGGGCTATGTAAAGGAAAAGGTGTATGCGAATAAGCCTGAAACAGTTGAAAATCTTAAAGAGGAAATACGGCGCGTTATTGGTGAAATACAGCCACATTTATGCGAAAACGTTATTGAAAATTTCAACAAAAGAATAACCCTGTCCCAGAGGTTTCGTGGTGGCCATTTGCCTGATGTTGTATTTCATATTTAATCGGAACTATTTTTCTTTATGTTAAAACCAAAATATTTGCTTAATTCAAAAAATAAATGGGTTTTTCTTTAAAATTAAATCCGGCGCCCTTGTTGGGACAGCCTTTATAAACATTATTTACGTTATTAATATCCATTTTAACTGGTTTTAGACTCACAAGCATCAAGCAACCTAAATTAGACTTTGACGTTTATCAATAAGTCATTAAACATTTGTTTTCCATGGCACACTAGGTTAATATCGATATGATATGTGAGCATTTTTCAAAAAACCCTAATTATTTCTCAAACTATTAATGTTAGGCATAGGACATATGGAATATAAAAGATGTAAAATGAGACGCCGAAGACGACTAAGTAATAAAATATGGGGGGTGCCATTTAAAAAAATGAAGTTATGGTGCTTCCAAATTTCGAAAAGTTAACGTATCATAGTAAAGTGACCAAACGATCTAGACAGCCGTTCTCGGCACCAAAACATACTCCATCATGTTGTTTAAGCATGTTCTGAATCCTAAATTGATATCTCAAAAATTGAGTGTTCTATGATTTTTTGAACAAATGTCCGCTGGAGCAAATTTTTCTAGAAAAATTCGAATAACTCGAGAATTGCTGGTTCAAATTGCAAAAAGTAAAGTTATTTATAAACCTTCAAAACAGACAAATCCAAATATGTAAAAATATACAGGGTGTTCCATTTAAAAAAATAAAGTAGGTGGCGACTTCCGGTATAACCGGAAGTGCTAGAAATCTGAAAATATTTTAGATGAAGAGAACGTAATTGATAATACTTAAGTCTGCATTCTAAAATTTTTGGTTTGGCCAGAACCCCAGAAACGTCTAATGACCGGTCTCGCTGAGACACCCTGTATATTAAAGTACCCTTAAAATTCACTAAAGAATTACCCTGTATAAATAACAATTGTATACCGTAGCTTCAAAATTTTATATATTACAAACACTGCAAAATTTGACACGGTTTTTGATTCTGATCGGTTAATAAAATATTGAGTAAAATCTGAATGATTAAAAGCGGATTAATACGGTTTTGAATTTTGCCGTGTCGCGAAGCCGATAATAACGGACCTCGTTTCGTTGCCGTTGTTCGCAGAAGCGAAATTAAACGCAAAATCCAGACCCGAATCCAACCCAAAATCCATTCAAATTATTGGTCCTTTTGTTTAGCTTCGGCTTTCGACATTGCCGTTCGTTTCAAAGCTCCATGAAATATGACGTGGCGCTATTACGGGATTAATTGCATTATTAATCCCGGTCGTCGCACAGTATTAAATCAAAATTCACTCGATTTCTTAATCATTTTATTTTAATCTTTGAAATGTGTGTAATATAGAAGTTGACAAGCCGCTTTAAACAAATTTTTGTGTGGTCGAAACGGTAACAAACCGTTTAATTTTCTTAAGTGGATTACAAAAAGGGATTTTTGTTCGATTTTCTTTCTTAGTTCCATTGACTTCAAAAACCCTCCATAGTCGGTAGTTCTTTTCGAACGTATCCCTTCGTGGCATTAAAATTTAACGTTATTTAACTCATCTTTTAACTTTTTTCTAGTTGGTATAGTACTTTGAGGCCGACAAACACCGAATAGAAACTTAAGTCTCCATCTCGGTCTCCACGGGGATTTAACCGCTTTACGAAAAGATAAAGAAAGAAAAATAACTTTAAAAAGTAGTTTAATTTTAATTATTTTCTTTTATCTAAAACCAAATCAATTTAAACCGTTAAAAATGTTTCTATTCGGACTTTTTTAACATTTTCAAATTTTTGTATTCTTCATGGGTGTTCTTTTTATTGACATTTCGATAAGAGTCCTT